GGTGCTCGGGGGTTTGGGTGGCCCAGCGCGGCGCTCGGGGGGGGGGGAGTTTCAACAGCTCGGGGGGGGGTTCAGCGGCGCGGCACTCCGGGGTTTGGGCAGCCCGGCGCGGCGCTCAGGGGTTTACGCTGATGTTACCATATCTAATGCAATTTCAACAGAGGATTCTCCCCTCTTCCTTATTTGTATTTCCTCCCCTTACCAATGTTAAGGTGCCCTTCTTCTATAGATTAGTATATTTATGATTTTAACTCATTATCATATACGTTAATTCGTTGCCATGGAGCTCTTGCAGTCGGATGGTCCATCCAAAACCTTCCAGAAGCTGGTATCAGTTTATGTTTCTGTGGTTGGCTGATGTCATTATGGACAAAATTCCTCTCTACACTCTACTTCCAGTTCCCCAAAATGTATGGGTTACCTAAGTTTATCTATGCCAAGTTCATAGGCCTCAAACCTCATGCTAACTGCTGAAGCCAATGTCTTACAGGATACAAGTCTGTAGGTTCCTTGCATTACCTCTGACTATAATAAAGCAGAATATAATGCAAAGCAGTGACTATAATAGAGGTAAGCTGGCCCCCTGGGCTACACCCTGCACTGAGGCACTTTGGCTACCTGCACTGAGCCTGTCATGGCCCTCGTCACCAGTCTAGCTAGGAGGGCACTTTAACACAGCTGCCATGCCAGAACCGATGAGGTATTTAATTCCTAGGGATTTGGGGGGCAGAGGCTGCAGGAGGAAGGATGTTGGCTGTAAGGGTATGTCTACACTGCAAGAAAACACCCCTGGCTGGCCTGTGTCTGCTAACGCAGTGGGGCTCAAATTGCAGTCTAGCTGTTCTGAAACCCTGTGAGAGGGAAGGTCTCAGAACCCCGGGCTCCAGCCCAAGCCCAAATGTCTACACTGCTGTTCTTAGCCCTGCAGCCCCAGTCAACTGACCCAGGCTCTGAGACTCCATGCCACGGGGTTTTTACTGCAGAGTGGACTTACCCTAACTTACCCAAACTCTTTCATCCGTTACGGTCCGGCAGTCCTGTGCTGCAGAACCAAACTGCAGGAGGGCCCTGGGCCTTCACACTCCTCCCTTCTTGTTGTAAAGAGCTCTCGTCTTCCCTGCTTGGCTAGCCGTCTCCCTGCTCTAATATATTTTCTTCCTTCAGTGCTGCTGCTTTGGCGGCTAACCTGGACTGCATTCTTCACAATTATCTGCCTTAAAAGAATACATCTGGAGCCAAATAGAAACAGACAAAATGAGGATAACAAAATGCAGCTTTGAAACCAAAACAAACAACAAATCCCTCCTGCTCGCCAGCCTGTTTATAACCAGGCTCACTGCCTGGGTGTGTATTTCACTGAAATCAGAGAGGAACCGTGAGCTGAGACGTAGTATGGAGCTCTTCAAAAGGCAGCAAGCCGGAGAGACCGAATCACAACTACATTGGGATCAGAAGGGGGAACGGCGTCAGAGCTCCCCCACCATAACCCTTTCATGGAGTCACCAAATTTAAAGCCAGACGGGACGTTTGTGATTATCTAATCTGACTTTCTGCAGAACACTGGGCAAAGAACCTCGCCCAGTGATTCCTGTATCTAGCCCATATCTTGTGACTGAGCTAGATCATATTTTTTATAAACTATTCCCTGCACAAGCCCTCCTCCCTAATGAACGCGATCAGTTGCAACACTTCGCATGGATAGGACAGACTTGGGAGGAATGTTACCTTCTCTCCACTCCAGGCATCAACCAATATTTATTGATCGCCCCTGGAAAAACCTATTAAATAGCCTTTGGCATCAAAAGTAAGCAGTTGCCTGAGCTGGCAATGGGCTGCTCTCGTTCCAAAGATGGACACCTAGCATTTGGTTCAGATATAGCTGTGGTGATTGATGGGTCTAATTCAGCCTGTCTTGTTCCACTTTATAACTTAATCATTTACACATTGTCTCTTCCAGCTCTTCCACAGTGAGCCAGGAGATGTCTTTATTCTGGCCTATACTGCACTGGAGTCTCATCCAGGACTACCTCACTGTTTAGGCTCCCTGAATCCTAAATCAAACCTCCTTGTGTAGTCTGCGTTATCCTAGGTGAACCTAGCCTGGGGACAGCTCTCTCTCTTTTTAGAAGCTGCTTAGTGGGGGGACTGGGCCTGAGAATTCTGAAGCCAAGTAGGGTTTTTGGCAGATTAATTTGCATGACAATAGACCCAGCATGCTACTCCAGCTACAGCTACCTCCTAGCAGAGCTGGTGACTGAGGCCTCCCAGAAAATCCAAAGGTTGGACTGTTGCCTGTGCCTGCAGAGATTTTCCCAAGTGCTTCACAGCTTAGAACTTTCACCATGTTTCTCCTCTAGACCTCGCTGAAGTGTTGACATGAGACAGATGGGGTGAATGATTTCAGCTGTCAGTTGTTTTTTGGACTGTTCAGTGATTTGTGGCACAGATGATTTGGATCTGACAATCCTTTCCAAGCCCATCAGAGTGGAAGATACAGGCTTGATTTTCAGAAAGAGCCGTGGGTGCTCATCACTTCCACAAGCCAGGCCACATATGCATACGGGGAATAAATGTTAGCTATCTGTGCAATAACTAAGAAAGACATTTGCCTATAGCTTTTGAAGGAAACAAATATGCCAAGAGAGCAAACCTCAAATAGTTTGTTCAAATCACCAGAACCCCCAGATAATAGCAGTTTGGTATATTTTTGTCTATAAGGAGCAAAAGGGAGAAAAATGTGAATGGAAGCCATCAGGCAACTCTTGCAAATCAAAGCAAATTCTGAAACTTGAGGATTTAGGTCCTGATCCTGTGGTCAGATCCATGCAGAACACTCAGGGCATAACGATCTGACCACACAAACATAATGACAGGATCTTGGTCTTAGGTGGTACATAATAAAAGCATACTAAGATGTTTGTGAGCTGGAAGTATCAAACATAGGAAAGAGGAACTCTGCCAGCCCATTTCTCCCAGAAAAGACAGGGGGGCAAGATTTTAATTCAGGTCTTCCTACTGGAAAACAAACGATTCACGATAAAAAAAATTTCCTAGTCTTTGCCTCTGAATTCTCTCTCTTTTTGTTATCATTTGTTTCTTAACTCCAGAAAGCTTTAGGCACTTTGCATGAATTAACAAATAGTGGGGAAGCGAGCGTGTGTGTTGGAGGGGAGAGACAATATCAACAACCCCAACTGTTCAAAAATTGTCTTAAAAATCCCAAGATTTCAAAAGTAAAATCAGCAATGCTGGATTTTGTGGTTTTGCCACCTGGTTTCCCTGAGCCTTTATCTCACTCTTAGTTCAGGTTTACTCTGCAACCATGAGGGCTAGAAATTTACCTAAAATAAGAAAGAAAGAAAGAAAGAAAGAAAGAAATCTAAGATTCTTACTTGATCCTGGCAGGTGGGGCTTTAACAATCACACCAAATATCAGGAGATTATCATGCGACAAGAGTTGGCAACACTGATTCCTGACCAGTTCTGCTCTTCTGACATGTTGCATGTCATGTCTGTTGCTTGGTTATTTTATTTGTTGTATGTCCGGCAGCCTGTATCTGGCAGCGCTCATTGACTGAGTCTTGGCTGCTCCATGTAGGGTGACCAGATGTCCCGATTTTGGGGTCTTTTTCTTATATAGGCTCCTATTACCCCCCACCCCCGTCCCAGTTTGTCACATTTGCTGTCTGGTCACCCTAGCTCCATGAAAAAAGCAACAGAGGGTCCTGTGGCACCTTTGAGACTAACAGAAGTATTGGGAGCATAAGCTTTCGTGGGTAAGTCTCACTTCTTCAGATGCAAGACTTACCCACGAAAGCTTATGCTCCCAATACTTCTGTTAGTCTCAAAGGTGCCACAGGACCCTCTGTTGCTTTTTACAGATTCAGACTAACACGGCTACCCCTCTGATACTTTACAGAAAGGAGTACTTCAGCAGGATATTT